GCAATGAACTCCCCATTCAAGGTATACATTTTATCTAATCTTTCTAGTCTTCGTTTTTTCCCCTTTCTTTTGATGAGCATAATGTTCAATACAAACCTGACAATACCTTTACCTCTCCAAATTAAAAGATTTCAAGTTAACACTGTGTGAGATTTAAGGGGAAGAAGACTTGGATCGAATAATAACGAAGATCCCGGGAATGGAAAACTTGATTCGATGTCGAGATCTCCCAAGTTTCTTTAGAAGAACCCATAACGGCCAAGTTTATTTAGAATCTGTGCTGTTGGAGACCCAGCAATCGCTGCGAGCACAAGCTCTGATATTGAACACATTTGAAGACTTAGAAGGAGCGGTCCTCTCTCAGATGCGACTTCACTTCCCCAAACTCTACACCCTCGGCCCTCTCCACGCACACCTCAAATCCAGAAAGGCCTCCAAAACGGCGCCGTCAAAGGAACCGCCTCCTAATTCCATCATCACCAATAACAGTCTCTGGGAAGTAGATAGAAGTTGCATGGAGTGGCTCGACGCTCAGCCACCTAAATCGGTGATTTATGTGAGCTTCGGAAGCATAACCAGAGTCTCAAGAGATGATCTCCTGGAGATATGGCACGGTTTGGTGAACAGCAAGAAGCGGTTCCTGTGGGTGATCCGGCCCGACATGGTGATCGAAAAGGAAGGAAATGATCTGCCAGACGACCTAACGGAAGGGACGAAGGAGAGAGGCTGCATGGTGGGGTGGGCCCCGCAAAAGGAGGTGCTTGAACACGTGGCAGTTGGTGGGTTCATGACACACAGCGGATGGAACTCAACGTTGGAGAGTGCGGTGGCTGGAGTTCCGATGATATGCTGGCCTTACTTTGCCGACCAGCAGATAAACAGTAGGTATGTGAGTGAGGTGTGGAAGATAGGGTTAGATATGAAGGACGTGTGTGATAGGAAGGTGGTGGAGAAGATGGTGAATGATCTGATGGCTGATAGGAGGGAGGAGTTTGAGAAGTCGACGGAAACTGTGGCGGCGGTGGCCAAGGCGAGCGTGAGCGAAGGTGGATCCTCGTACTCTGAGTTTGACCGTTTTGTTCAGTTCTTGAAGTCATTGAGTTCTGGGAAATGAAGTTTTGTCTTTTTCATTGGAAAATTGGAGTTTTGTCGGCTCATTGGAGATTGGACTTTCCTAATTTCTTTGCTCCTTTTTCGTTCTGGGCTTAGCCCAAGGAAGAAGTGGATTGTTTTGTTTGTTCTTGACGAGTACAAATATAATCTTTGGCCCAAAAATAAAAGAGTTCATATCCAATTGATGCGTGATTCTTCTACTTCTGGATCCATACATAACGTATCTTTGTGGATTTGATTACTGGCAATTTTTCTGTATCATACTTTTTCGGGGGTATTTGGCAACCTCCAAACCATGGTTTCAGAAACATTTTTTTTCGTAAAACGAGGCAAATTCCTCCACATATTTACTTTGTAAACTGTAAAAGCACTTCTGAAATCATGGTTTGGTTTCTATCCAAACACCCCCTTCACCTTAGTAGTGTGCGTGTCTGTGTGATGAAATCAAGTTTTTCAAACGAGACAGAAGAAATCAGTTTATCAAGTTAGATAGTGAATATGGAATTGATGGGCGGAGCCAATTATTACTTTGAATTATTATTACTCCTCCGGTCCTTAATATAGGATCCATTTAACTAATTTGATTATATTAAGGAAGTTAGGTAAGTTAGTTAATTATGATATAAGTGACACATTTTTCCTAAAACACCATAATCATCTTTCTTAATACCTCCTGTCCCTCTTCTACTTGGTTATGGTTGAGGGAGTATTCATAGGAGTAATTTAGAGAAAATTGATAAATATGAGAAATAGGTCTTATATTTAGAACCAAAACCAACTCAAGAATTGGATTCTATATTAAGGACCGAAGGAGTATTATGAAGTAGTGCAGACTATGCACTTTTTCTTTTGGCCAGAGTATAGACTTAAAATATCACCTTTCAACAATATTGTTGCCATTTATTTGATAATAACCTTCAAAACAATGCAACGAGGAAAGAGTAGTTTAAGGCTATGTTTAGATGGAGGAAAAAAAGTGAGAAAATAACAGGAGATAATGAATACTGGGAAGGAAAACTTCCAAAAAAAGTATAAAAAAAATTACTATTTTGAAAAGTTTTTCCTTCTAGTAATTTTTTTCTCATCTAAACAAAGGATGAAGTGCCCTGTGAGTTTGACACGTAAATTTAAAATAGAGCCAAGGAAAAGAAAAGGCATGACATGACCATCCATATGATAATGCTGCATAAGCTTCCCAAATAAAAAAGCATGTGTTAATTATATAATGTGATCGATAAGCATTGCTTAGTATTATGATTAGTGGATGCTAAGCTCACTGAGGGCGAAACAAAACCATTATATGCCTTTTGAGAAACTGATGAACTAACCCACATTGGTATTATCCCCTAATTAAACAATATTAACATATCTTCTCCATAGTCCTCACCTTCTCAATCCAGCCCGGTATTAAGTAGATGCCCCACCTTGAATTTTCACAACCAAATGTGGAATTCAATTAAAATTAAAATAAATAAATTTATAGAAACAGTAAGTGGAGTTAATATGTACATATTTAAGACTATAATAATCGTTGTTGGGTCAGCTTCAAAACTGCCCGTTTATATTTCCGGTGCCTTGTGAGATAGAGTAGGTCTTGGAACTTTTATGGTCATGTTCCTCATTTGGGTAGCTCAATACTTTAATGGAGTTATTAGAATTCAGTTAGGCACCTTTTTCTAGCTGAAGTGTGACCCGGTGAGGTTGGTGAGATTTTGGATTAAACACACGAAATATATATATATAGTTTTTATTAATTAATATAGCTAAAGAATAAATAAGATAAGCAGGTTTGGTTCACCAGCTTAACCATGTGTGTCCCCCTAGTTAATTAAACACAAGTAACCACTTCAGTTTTTGAAACTTGGTCATCAGTGTGGTCACAGTGAGAGTCATCCATATTATTATATGCTGGTTTTTTATTCAAGACTCGGATGTCCCATAGCTCCATAGTCCCAGAATCTTCTTATTTATATTAATCTCGTAAATTTTAAAAAAAGAATATCAAAATTTTGATGAAATGGTAAAGCAAAAATAAATGAAACACGTGGAGGTCCTCCTGTATGGACCAGGGACATTAAAAAACCTAAACTCTTTGGTGGTCTGCTCACGGCATTATATATATATATATATATATATATATATATATATTTATATCAAGTATGACTAGTCACTTTCTCTCTTTTCCCAAAACACGAAATAAATAATATGCTTTTCTTGAGACTAAAAACAAGTATGAATTTTTGTTAATATGATTCAGTTTTCATGGTTGCAGGCGGTCAATATTAATAAGTTTTCAGAGTTCGAGAAGATATACCATTGAAAGAAACAAATGAAGAAGGTCAACCATTTCTCATTTTGTAATTTGTTCTTTTTTATAATTTTTTGGGACAAAAATTTGAGGTAAAGTTTTAGCTAACCCAAGTATACTAATTTGGTATTTGGTTTTTAAAATATAAAATTTTAATTCACTTTGTCTCACATTTTTTCTTAAAATGTCCCTATTAATTAAAAGAAGATCCCATCAAAAGGAGTTGCAATACACATGATTATAGAAGATAATTTATAAAGATTAATACACATCTGTGATAAAAAACTAACTCAATTAATTTTTTTAATATTTTTAAATTAGTTATCTCACTCTTATAAAAAGAATATATTAGGTCAAGTGAACCTACAACAGACCTCGAGGCGTTTATGAAGTTGCCCTTGGATCTAAGATGCCTTTCCAAATGCTAGGACTGAGAATTGAACCCCCTCCTTTTTTGATACATATATAACTCTATCCTTTTTAGTGAGAGGGTACAGTTCTTAATGTTAAATCCACCAACAATACATTGTTTTCTTTTCTTTTATTTGAACCAATGACGTGCTTTTTTTTTCACCGACTAAAACCTCTAAGGATTAACTGTATGTATTATCATCAATTAATGGAAACAAATATTAAACAATTTTTTGTATGTATTCAAATTCAAAGGAGATATAATCTGCAAGAGAAAATTAACTCACAACTTTGATTTACAAAGTGTGACACACTCCTAATCCATTTCATTCTTCAGGCAAAGCCCAAAAAAAGGAAAAAACTCCCATCCGTTTATCATTATGTGCGTTTGAAAATTCGTTAATTCAGTCAAAACCACGTTTTCACCAAAAACGACAGGGGAATATATAGTTTTATCTGATAAATGGCAAAATCACTTTCCAACGTGTTGTCCAGTATTTTATATAAGTGTATTTTTTAAATTAAATGAACCGAGTATTTTACCGTTGAGTCCAACCAAAAAAAAAAAACCATTCTTGGGTGATATTGATGTTAATTAATTGATTTTATTAATTAAATTACATGTATTGTACTGTCATTAGATTCCCTACAATGAAAGCAACTCAACATTTACAGAATTTTACTTGCTTAGACACTTTTTTATGAAATGTGAATTAATATTAGTACAATTATCAATGAATAACTGCGGTTTTTCTCCTGGCTGGCCTATGATGATAGATAATCCCAAGGAAAGTTTCCTACTTTCAGGTTGATAGGAATTTACATAATTTTTGGTATTTGAGATAAAATTAGAAGGGGAAAAAAACAAAGCAGGCTCATGGCCATATGAGCTTTTGTGCGTTAGTTGCGCCAAAAGTCACGACCAAATATCCAAAATCGGAGATTGCGTCAGCATTCACTTTCATTTTCCGCTCTCTCTGTTTCTATTTAAAAAAATTTTCCCATTTGTTTTCACCTTTTCAGAGCTCAGAGTTTGGGTCTCAGGCAACGTTTCTCCAAAGTTAGAAAATAATAAAAAGTAAAACAGAAGAGAAACTGAGGTTATAAATATAGCATTTATTCCAATCATCCCCATGCTGGTTTTCGCTTACTCTTCTTCTTAGGACAACTAACTCTGAGGCTTTCTTCTCCCTTAGCTCCTCTGTTTTCCGTTTACACAATTTCAATCCATCTCTTTTTCTCACATGTCATTAACTAAACTTCAACTTCCATACTTCTGGAAATTCAGATCCTTGTTTTAGAATATAGTTTTATTTCTTTCAGCACGAGCTGGTTGAGTTTTGAATCTTAGAATAAACCCTCCATGAGGGTAGCACCCTGTTTAAGGTAAGCTTCTTTTACGTGCAAGTTATTGTTTTCTGTTTTCATTACAGGGCATGAGCCCAAGAACAGGGGAAAAAAACAAATTCATTTTCTTTCTTTCATTCTTTCACAAACTTCAACATTAAATTGCTTTTTCGCTCTTCCCCTTTTCAAAACTTTTCCTGGCTTCGCATCGCACAAGCAGATAAGATATAAAGTTTCCAACTTTTGTAGGTCCGCGTCTGTATCCTGTGTTTCCCCCGCTTCTATGGAACGAGGAAGGGCATGTGTGTGTATTGAAATGTGATTTTCATTGGTTATACAGAGAAGGTATAGAAGAGAAAGTAATCAAAACCCAGAAATGGACTCATTAGAGAAGCAGAGAGAGTTTGCCGGCGACGATCAGGAGTCGCCGAGAGGTATACTGGAAATCCCTGTTTCAGGCACAGAATCTGATCACAGCGGAAGCAGCAGCATCTACAGCTCAAGCTCGCCGGAGAAGTCGTCGGAGGCGGAGAGAGTGAACGTGAGGGAAGGGTTGGGACAGCCATGGAAGGCGATGATGGAGTCGTTCAAGAAGAAGTCAGCGCAGAGAATATCGGCCATTTCATTACTTACAGCAAGCTACGAGATGTCAAGGAAAAGCTTGAGGAAGAGGAGAATGGAACGGATTCGAAGCGCAGAAGAGGGAATCAATCTGGGAGCCATACCCACAAAGCCTTCATGGAGGAACTTCGATTACGCAGAGCTACAAGCAGCAACCGACGATTTCAATCCAGGTAACAACTACCATAACCTTTTTTCTCTTCTGGTATGGCTTGTTTCTGCAACAAACAGCGAACGTCGATAAATTTTCTATGGCCAAGAAAAACAAAGAAATCATCATCATCTTCTTCTTCTTCGTCCTTTTTGTTTTTCCCAAGTTAATTGAATGATTAAGGGTTTCTCATAGGTGGTTATCCGCAGTCACGAGCCTAGTTCGGTCAAAAAGGCTGGCCCCTCTGCTCCCTATTCGAAAAGCTAGGTCTTCCCATCGTATCTCCTTCGAGTCAATCCAGCCACACCATATAAAGTAGAGATAGTACTTCATAGAACGGAATCATAAACAATAATTTTCAGAAAGAAGACACCTTAAATTATTTATGATTATGTTACAAATGAAAATATTAATAATGCTCTGTCTCCCCTTAATCGTTATTCCCACATACAAACACATTTGTGTAGTTGTATTATTACCTGATCGATTTTGTTGACTTGTTTATTGAAAGAAGGCTGCCATAGAAGATTCAACGTTTACCAATTTGTTTGTCAAAAAACTGTTGTTGTTTGCAATCTGTGCTGAAATTTCGAACTCTCACTCATGTTTGGCGCTCACTTGAATGAACATTATATGGTGAAGTTTTCTTAATCTTGTGTGATAAACACAGGCACGTCTTGGGTTCTTTTATGGAAAGAGTTTGCACGACACTAGAGGGATTTCCACGAGTTATGTATATTTCAAGTATTGCATTTGATTAGTGACCAAAAAGGAAAAAAGCATGGCGTATAATCATATAATCGAAGAGCTAACGAAGCCACAAAAAGTAGACCTTTTAAGCATATATACATGTGTGTGTATACATATATCCAAATACACGCAGATGATATTTTAGTTTCAAATATAGATTTAAATATAAGATTTTTAGTTCTAAAGATACATTATCTCTACAGAAGTCGTAACCCAACCTCTTGGGATGCATGTGCCGTGATCTTGTTGCCTTATCGTTGCTCTAATGATCTCATCAACGGTGTCAAAAGGATTGTGCGCTCTAATCCTTTTACAAGTATTCTTTTCGTTTTTGTTACTGGATCTAGGGTTAGGTAATTTAGTTAGTAGCTGTGTAGTTTTCAAAACACAGGATGCAAGATTTTTTATTTGAATCTTTCAACCCAGAGTTAATCAATTCGTTGAACCATGGACCTAATAAAGTTTGACTATGAAAAAGCCAAATCATAAACTACTCCTACAGGATAAAGAAACCCGGGCATCAAGGCCATCTTTTTAAAGTTTGGGACGCTATTAGTCAATACGTTATTTCAGTTAGCGAAGACTTCAGTTTCCAAAGCCGCTCACGACAAATATGGTGGGACCTTAAGGAAGCTCCCAACCGTCAAATTAATTCTATCTTCATACCAGAACAATAAAACCAAAACCGGAAGACCCACTAAATGTGAGTGTCAGGGTGAACTCCCTGCCTTGACCTTGAGGAACATATTCCTAACCCACTAATAATCCTCTATTTCTTTTTTTAAAAAAAGGAGGAAAATTTGACATTATGTTCAACTCTAAAAATAATTACCCAATACTATATTTTGGTCTTAGAGAAACTCCACCTGTTAATATGGACACCGCTTTTGTGCTTTGTTAGAGAACCTGATTGGACAAGGTGGGCATGCTGAAGTCTACAGAGGACGTTTACCGGATGGTCAACTCGTGGCAGTGAAGAGGCTAATGAAGAAAGAGAAAGAAAATGAGGACAGGGCGGGTGACTACTTATCAGAGCTAGGCATTATTGCCCACATAAACCACCCAAATGCTGTGCGTTTGATAGGATTTGGGGTCAACAATGGTCTCTACTTTGTCTTGCAATTAGCCCCACATGGCAGCCTTTCTTCTCTGCTATTTGGTTCTCTCTCGACCTCTTCCTCCTTCTTCTACAAATGCTTTTCCACGTTAGTGTAGGCTCAACATTTTCTTTCACCAGGTCTCTGATTTTCCACATTTCAGGTTCTGAATGCTTGGAGTGGAAGACAAGGTTCAAGGTAGCTATTGGTGTGGCACAGGGCTTGCAATACCTGCATCATGATTGCCAAAGAAGAATTATTCACAGAGACATCAAGGCCTCCAACATATTACTAAACGAAAATTACGAAGCTGAGGTACCTCGGTAGTAGATTCTGCTTGAATATAGTATTAGATTCTCTCCAATCATACGGGCCGAGGGAAATGATTCCTTGTGTTATAAACTGTAGATTTCAGATTTTGGACTCGCGAAATGGCTGCCAGAGAAGTGGACTCACCATGTTGTCTTCCCAATAGAAGGCACATTCGGGTCAGTATTGTTAGCTTCAGGTTTTCTACATCTTATTACCACTGTCAACTCATTTATGACGCACTGGATCCATCCATCTTCAGGTATTTGGCTCCAGAGTATTTTATGCATGGAATTGTGGATGAAAAGACTGATGTGTTCGCCTTTGGGGTTTTGCTGCTGGAACTCATTACAGGTCGTCGAGCAGTTGATTCATGCAGCAAGCAAAGTTTGGTCCTCTGGGTAAGACCTCATTGTACCTGTATCCAAGATTTCAATCTTTGTTTTAGTGAATTTCTCATGTTAATATGAGATACTCAACATGACCAGGCAAAACCACGACTAGAAGCACACAATGTGAAGGAATTAGTAGACCCACGATTAGAAGAAGCTTATGATTCCATTGAATTGAAGAGGACCATGCTTACTGCTTCCATGTGTCTCCACCATTCATCTTCCCACCGTCCATACATGAAACAGGTAAAGAAAAGAAAACCCTTTCTCCTGCAACATGGTTCATTTTTGTATTTGCATGCTGAACCGGCGCCTTTGGAAAGTATAGGTTGTGCAGCTGCTGAAGGGTGAAGAGGGACTCGTTGATGTTAAGCAGAAGTCAGTACCGACAAGATCCATCTTGTTAGATGCCAGCGACCTCGAAGAATATACTTGCTCTACTTACTTGAACGATCTCAATCGTCATAGGCAACTAGTCATGGAGTGATCATGCCTAATCGCTGTGCTCTCTTTGATGAGGGGTTTCCTGTTATGTTCTTGTTTATGCAAAAAATCCTTGGCATGATCTTGGTAACGCATTGTGTAGAACAGCCAATGTCACTCGCTTCAGTCTCAATTGAAGCTTTCGAGTTTTCCAATGAAGCTTGAAATTTGGAGTGAACTTGTAACAAGCAGTAATCAAGAAGTATGGTTTTTATCAGCACAAGGCACAGAGTGACCTGAGAGAAGCTATTTCGGCCCCAGAAAAAAGGCCCATTGTACATCCCCAGAGAGTGTTTGTACCTTTTATATTCTGGAGTCGGCAGTGCGCCAGTGCCAATTTAAACATAGTCCATTCGCTCTTAATATCTATCTTTCAAAAGACCTGCATCTAAATATATCTATCTTTGGCAATTATGCAAACGTGGACAACATTGTGTATAAAGTAACTTTCTTTTTTTCATGTGGAGAGATCTCTCAATTCCGCAAAATCTTCCCCTCATATTAGGGGTGTTCACGGGACGGATCGGGACCGGGACAGGGACAGGCCCGTCCCGGTTCCGTCCCGATGAACAGTAACGGGACAGATTTTCTGTCCCGTGTCCCGGCCCGTCCCGGGGTTGTCCCGGTCCCGGTCGGGACGGGACGGATCCGGGACGTCCCGAAATATATTTTTTTTAATTTTTTTAAATTTTTTAAAAAAAAATCTGATTTTTTTAATTATATTTTTTTGAGCTTAAATCTTATAAAAACATCTTTTTTATTTGTTTGGGCACTCTTAAACAAAAGCTCAAAATATTACATATAATAGTTATTAAAAACTCTAAACAAAAGCTTTAAACACAATAAAAACTTGCTAAAAAATCTAATCATCAATAATCTCAAATCATTAACAAATATAAAAACTCTAAATAAATATATCCATAGTTCTATACAATAGTCTCAAATCTTAAAAAAATATGAAAAAAATGATATTATATAAAAGTTAAAAAAATTAAATTTTTTTTTTTTAAAAAAAGGGACCGGGACGGGACGACCCCGTCCCGTGTCCCGTCCCGTCCCGGTCCCTTTTTTGTCCCGTCCCGGTTTGTCCCGTCCCGAAAAATTTCGGGACGGATCCGTCCCGTCCCAATAAGACCGGGACCGGAACGGGCCGACCGGGACGGGCCGGCTTTGAACACCCCTACCTCATATAAATAATTAAGTGATATTTGAATTTTGATACAATAGATAAAACGATGGTATGCAGAAGCTATTATTAAACAGCTTGATACTAATTGTCATGATTTTACAAGAAATTAATAATGAATCTCGGCATAAAAACGAATCCTCATTTAAAACTTCTTTGAACAAGTACTCAGTATTCAGCGGTGATGGAGGAGCCTCAATCCAATTAATGTATATTACCATGTAACATCGTAGTCATTCTCAATATGGAAACTTTGGACTTCGGAGCCTTAACATTCAACCGCAAAATGAAAAAATCTCCAGGGCGTCGTTTTTTGTTCATAAATGGCCTGTGAATAGTAATAACCCAGGGGTGTTCTTGGCCCAGCCCAACCTTGTACAGGCAATGGGACCAGCAGTTTTATAATCTTATAAATATACAAATAATGGGAGAAATAGAGACTAATATTATCAATATAGAGATACCTCTCGTCCCAAATGCGAAGAAAATCCCCCACGACGGCAGTTTAAGCTATATCCGGCATTGACAAGGCAACGACACTGATGGCCAAAGAGTTGATTGTTCAACTGGCCTTTCTAATCCTAACTTTGTCAATTCTTTACGTTGTGCACAATCTTCGCAAGCAGCCGGGTCAACTCAGGGCTCGAAGCAGGGACCGAGATAACCACCAATCGAACCGCCATTTGGTCCAGGGATCTCGCCTTCTGGCTCGAGCCAGATCCAACTCCCATGGACCGCGATCAATGGCCCATGCCAAAAGCGCTCTGATAGAAGCCGACCAAGCTCTTTCTCTCTCACCCAGGGACCCTGCAGCTCACATCCTTAAAGCTCTCGCTCTCGATCTCATGGGTCACCACGCCGCCGCGCTCAGGTCGATGGACTCCGCTCTGTCTGTGCCCCACGTGAAGTCGCTATCGGCGGCCGAGCGCGAAGACGCACTCGTAAAGAGGGCGGAGTTGAAATTGGCAGTGAATCAACGTCGGCGAGTTGACTCGGCGTTGGAGGATCTGGATGAGGCGGTGAGGCTGAGCCGGGGGAGCAACACGACAGCGTTCTGTTTACTAGGGGAGTGTTACGAGTGGAAGGGGATGAAAGAGAAGGCCAAGGAAGCGTTCCAGAGAGCCATTGAAATTGACCCTGATTCAGTGAAGGCTCGTAGTGGGCTGGATCGATTAGGCCCATAATAATTTAAAGCCCCTTTTTAAGGGAAGCCCAAGATCCCAAACCGATCTTTTTCTGGGCCTTTCAACCCAATGCCATTTTGCTAGTGGATGATTTGTACTTGCTTTTCCCCAAAATCCCAAACAATTGTAGAATGGTAGTGATGATAAGCAGCATTAAAAATTTGGTGGATAAATGTCCATCCCTTTTTGCTGATCAATGGTCACCTTTAATTAACCAAAGACGCAACGTCTGGGATTATCACGCAAGTCTCACACACTAGAGGTCCCCGGCTCGGCTCAGACATTTGTATTTTGCAGCATTTTGGTTTTCTTTTTATCAATGAAGATTGAACTTAGCGTCTCAAAAGGCAAAATGAGAAATTTGTAACCGGATAAAAAAGGGCAAAATGAGAAATAAAACAAATTGAAATTTTATATTTAGAAACAAATTAAATCTATCTCTAACACAAATAGTATGACGTCATTTGTGTAATACTCTTCCGATTTTTAATATAGGATCTAATTCTTGAATTGGTTTTAGTCCTAAATATAAGATTTATTTTTCATATTTATCAATTTTCTCTAAATTAACCCTATAGATACTTTCCCGATCATAATCAAATAGACAAAGAAAAGAGGGTATTAAAAAAGATGATTATGATATTTTAAAAAAATATATTACTTTTCTTATAATTAACTAACTTACCTAATTTTTTTAATTTAATCAAATTAGTTAAATAGATCTTATATTAAGGACTGGAAAGTACTACAATTTAACGCGTCGAAGAAAACTCTAGTTTCCGAAATGAACATAACGCCGAAAGCAATAATAGATCTTAGTCAATAATATTTTGATTCATGCCTCTGGTTTTACCGAAATTTTGAAGCTACCATGCTTTTACGTGTAGGACCGACAAGTTATCCAGAAAGATGAGAAGAAGTCAAATTGGGAACATAAGAAAAATATAAAGCAGCATTTATAAATTCTTGCACTACTCAATTTATCTTTCAAAAGTCACTTACATGATCCAACTTCCTACATGTAAACCGGAACCCTAGCATTTACCAGCACCAAAACCTACCTTACTTTTCTTTCTTCCCAGTTAAGGTATTATATATTCTCGATGGGGGTCAGCTGAACTGTAAGAGATAAAAACCTATCATAGCCTCTGATTTGTTAGCGGAAGACAAAATAACGAAGTAACGAAGATAAACTAACTAGTTTGCTAATCAAATAATCAACATGGCTGATGAGGCCACAGAAAAAACTCAGCAGCAGAAGCCGGCAGCGCAGTCATCGGAGCCGCCGCAACAGACGCAGTCACAGATACGGTTGAATCCACAGTACCAGAGCTGCTAGTAGGATAAAACTGGTGCAACAGATTGTGGTGGTAATGTGCTGCTGCAGAATCATAGGGAATACCACAAGGGATAGAAGAAGCAAGTGCAGGTTGAATGGGTGTGAAACTGATGGTTCCAGCGTTGGCATTAATCGCGTTTGGATATTGGGGTTGCTGGATATTGTGTTCTGATTCTGGGGAATGTTTTGCGCGTTTGGCTGATCCACCAACTGGCAGAGTACTCTTCATAATCGCTTCCACATCATATCTGCTCATCTCGAAGTTCGTCACAGCGCCCGCACCTCTGAATTTAATGGCAGCAATATCGTATGCCTCTGCGGCTTCCTCTTCAGTCGCTGTCACAACGTGTTTTTTGGTATATGCACATCAGAATATTATTTATCTTTTTCGTAATTGCATTCTATATTCTTAGTTGTATATTACTCACCAAATGTTCCAAGGTACAGATCCTTGTTTCCTGCAACACGACCGATTCTTGCTTGCCAGCGACCTTGCTGATGATGCCTGCAAAAGCAAAAAGTGATCGGATAAACAAGACATAAGGATTGGAGGTACTATGAACAACGATAAGTTTTGATGATACTATGAATTATTTGTGTACTTTCGATACCTTGTTACGCCCCTGTATATAGAAGCTCCTCTAGAAAAACCGCTACTTTTCCTGCATATATATGAATGGGACGTAAAGTTTATCAGTTTGCTACTGTGCTGAAGAATAACACCCACAGCGGGAATTGTTCAGCACAAAGGCGTTTACCTTCTCAGTGAAGCAATAAACTCTTGCTTTGTCACATGTTTCATCTCCTCCAATTCCTTTGTGTAATTCGAAACCTGAGAAAATTTGAGGGAACAAGTGCCGCTAAGTTCTACCGTCCAAGCCCACACCAGATTTGTGTTGTCATTATATTATATGGATATAGTTCACCAGATATAAACTCCCTTGTGAAGAAGAAGCTATTAACTAAAGATAGAAGGATTTAAGAACTTGAAAGTAACGACAATGGAAGAGAGCATTACAGGAAAGTTAGTGGTAGCAGTCGGACCCCAATACTTTAGAGCTGCCAAATCATAAGCCCTCGCAGCCTTGTCTTCTTTGTCATACCCACCTGATAGCCATCAAGATTCATTAGTTAATTGCAAGTCCATCTCACCACGTAAAGTTTTTTTTTTTTAATCAATAATGGGCTGAGAACGAATCTGGAATAAAATTAACCATAAAATATTTCATACCCAGGTACACTGTAGGAATCACAACAAGTGCCGCAAGCCACGTTCCATGCAAAAGGAAAAGGCAAGAGGAGATATATCAGCTTATGAGATGGTCAAAATAATCAACCAGAAATTACTATTTTTAATCTAAAAAAAGAAAAGTTCCATCCATGCCATATATAGTGCCTGCGCAAAAGCGCCTTTAGTTTTCATCCATTTTGTTTCTTTCTCTCTTTTGCCCCACAAGTCGTAGCTTCATAGTGCTGACGTGTCTTCTGAGATAGATACGTTTATTACCCCCCCACCCTCTGAAAGACCCATCAATGTCCAAATATAGTACCAAAATGAGCAATAGAACTTAGAGCTCCACCCAAAAAAATTAATTTCCTAATAATCATGCCACTAACTAACTCATCATAGTCAAAGAAATAGCGAATTGCCTTCCTTCAGAGAGACTAAAGAAAAATATCAGACAAAAACGCCTCTTTTTCCCTTTCCCTCCTTTTTGAAAAAGTGAGACCACATGAAAACACTTTTTATGTTAGTTGAGTCTGCAACACAAGATCTAAGAGACCCGTGAGTCCGTGAGTATGTCTCAGAATGAAGAGGACATTATGAGATTCGCCTCTGTCAACGAGCTTTCAGCTAACAGTGGCGACGTAAGTACAGTTTTCAAAACAGTTGCTATGGTCAAACCCAGCTTTCCTCTGCCCAGCGAAAGCAAAAAAGCAAAAGCAAAAGCAAAAGCTAAGTCTCAAGAAACTCATCAGAAAGATGTGTATATATTATAGATCGACGACACAGTATTCAGGCTATGTAGGTGATTTGATCATAGATGTCTGTACCGTCTGATTCGAAGCCATGGATTGGGAGAGAGAGATCCCGAGATGATAGTCCCAATCCAAAACAAGCACAGAGATAATAATAAAAGCTAAACCCACGTGGCCAAAATGGCGGCACATTGGATCAAATCAACTTGAATGAAGTTGCAGAACTATAAAATTACAAGTACACGTATTTTACATCAGTCAATCATCGAAAAAGGCTGTTTAAAAAAGAAAACTCAGGTGTCCTATCCCCCTCTTCAGTCTTTACAACTATCAATGAGTTTTTTTTTTTTTCTAAATTCATGCAAAAACCCCTTTGCAGTTTCCAGCTTACAGATTATTTTTTTCCCCGCACCAGTTGGTTCCAAATTTCTTCTCCCTTCCTCCTATATTATTCACTCAAGTCTTCTTAAAACTCAAGTCGTGCGTTTAATCTTATTATCATCATTTTTTCCCTTATCACATCCACAAGCAACCCAAATGGTGTACAAAACACGCACTTGGGGTCCCGTGCAGATGAAACAAAAGAGAAAAGAATTTTTTTTCCCCCTCTATCTTTAAAATTTTTGGCGAGAGCATTTTTCTCTGCAAAAATAATGGGGAAAGGTAAGTGATGCTCCTTAATCAACAGACAAGGGACGCAATAATCGACGTTTCAGAAACAGGCAGAAGATATTGCGATGAGTTTCCAATGCTCATGGACGTCAGGCATCGCTTCGCTACACAACAAAACTTTTAGAGAGAGAGAGAGAGAGAGAGAGATGAACCTTGACGTCCTTTCCTGGCTTGACCCTCTCTTCTGCAACTGTTATCCCATAGATGCGCTTCATATCTTCCCGTCCATCGGTGTCTGCATCCTCAAAAGAAAAGGGAATTAGTATAAAGAGTATACTTTGACGTTTGAACCAAAGTGATGATGAAAATGAGACAATCGGAATCAGGAATTTAATAGGACCTTGTAACGCCTCTGTAGATTGAAGTTCGCTGACCAAAAGTATCGGCTACTTTCTTTGAGCTATCTGAGTCCACCGGAACAATGGCTTTCTCACGACTTTGTGAGACGCCGAGGGACAAAGCACCCGTGGCGCAGCCGGAGAACGCCACGTCGTTCCCGGACGACTCGATCGCGAACTCCCCACAAGGAGCATGATGAGCAGTCTTGGCGATGGAAGCTGAGTCTTCCACCTCGGAGCCGGAGTTCGCAGAGAAGGCTTGAAACCCGGCGATCGCTTTCAGATCTTGCGGGTCGCTGAAGTAGCCGGCGCCGCCGCCTCCCTGCTCGTATATCTGCGTCAGTGACGAATCTTGCGTCTCCGTTTGGCTATCGGAGTAGCCCAGAAAATCTTCCAGCTTCGGCGCCCCGTCGTTGTGATTTTGTGGGCCCGCCAAGCTCTCTCCGCTTCGATTTTGCTCTACTTGGCAGTAGTAATCTGCTTGCGACCTGAGATTCGCCCAACCTGTACAGAAACCAAATCAAACCAAACCCAGAACAATATTTTCTGGTCAGCACTAGAAATAAACACAGAAGGAAGAAAAGCCGAGAAATTTTTCACGTGGCGTTACGTTACCATTGCCATAGAAATTATCGACAAAGTAGTGAGAGGGATGGTTAGCAGAGAGGTTGTCGTATTGAACGAACTGAGAATCGGAGGACCTCAGCATTTCCATCGGCGACAACGAAAATGACAGCCAGTTCGTAGCGCGAGCCATATTATGTTCCCTTGGTTGAAGCCTTACTAATGTTCTTCTTCTTCGGTTGCCCTGAGAGAGAACAGAAGAAGCTATCTAGAATCACATTTTTAAAAACAAATCTTTTGGAGGAAACAAACAAAGTTTGC